TTGATACGGGTGCTGATAATTAGAAGAACATTAGTCAAGTCTCGGGCAATCCAACCGCTCACTAGAAATCTGTCACTACGAACAGTCACCGGCGAATCTACACCAGTTCAAGAAGAAGCTATGATTGAGCTTACTTTTGGATCTACCACCTTCAGGCACAGAACATTAGTCGCCGATATAGAAGATGATTTCATTTTGGGAATGGATTTGATCGGCCAAAATGGTTTCTCTTTTGATCCTTCCATGAACATCCTTAAATTTGGTAACGAAGAAATTGTCCTAACAACACAAGAAGAATCCAATGCCGTTAAGATCTTGGCCACAACCCCAGTAAGGATTCCTGGAAGTACGGAGAAGATCATTTTTGGAAGATTAGTAACAAACCCTGGGTGCTGCGTTGGACTAACACGTAATTTTATTGGAGATAAACCAGAAAGATTTCTTGTTGGGAAGACTCTAGTAAAAACAAATGGGGACATTATGATAAGAATTGCCAATGTTTCTTCCGAAACAGTAAGAATAAAAAAAGGAAACATTATTGGAACTCTCGAACCAGTTAAGCAAATATCGAACTGTGACCTTCTAGATAAGCGACATTCTGTGAAATCTAAATTGGATACAGACACCTTGACGCTGACTTTGGCGAAATCATGGAAACATCTCGATCCAGATAGACTCCAAGAAGCCACAGATTTCATCTTGAAAGAAGCAGACGTATTTGTGATGGACAATCAAACCGGACGGACCAACCTATTTCAACACAAAATTGATACTGGACTGGCACACCCAATTAGACAACCACCACGACGTATGCCAGTAGCTAAGCAACAGGAAGTGGAAAACCAGATTGATAAAATGCTTCAAGAGGGAATCATTGAAGAGTCAAATAGCCCATGGTCTGCGCCAGTAGTATTGATTACAAAGAAAGGTGGGAGTCTTAGATTTTGTGTGGACTACCGAAAGCTTAATGACGTCACCAAGAAGGACAGCTTCCCTCTCCCGAGAATAGACGATACATTAACAACTCTATCGGGCTCCAAATGGTTTTCCACCTTGGATCTCAAAAGTGGATACTGGCAAGTGGCAATACATGACGATGACAAAGAGAAAACTGCCTTCAGTACCGAAAGCGGACTATACCAGTTTAATGTAATGCCTTTCGGATTGTGTAATGCTCCAGCTACGTTTGAGCGACTGATGCATCTTGTTTTGCGAGGCCTTACATGGAGAACTTGCCTGGTATATTTGGATGATGTCATGATCATGGAAAATTCGTTCCAAGAACATCTCAACAACCTGAAAGAAGTTTTTGACCGGTTCCGGAATGCCTTCTTGAAACTCAATCCAAATCAGTGTTTTCTATTTCAAAAGAAAGTGGAATTTTTAGGTCACGTGGTATCTGAAGATGGCATACAAGTTATGGAAGGAAAAATAGATGCTGTAAGGGACTGGCCAAAGACACGCGACAAACATGAACTAAGGAGTTTCCTAGGATTATGTTCTTATTATCGAAGATTTGTCGAAGGATTCGCCAATATAGCTGCTCCGCTTCATCGATTAACAGAAGAAAAATCAACATTCAATTGGACCCAAGAATGTGATTCTGCATTAAGAAAATTGAAAGGAGCATTATGTACGAGCCCAGTGTTGTCCTATCCTGATCAGAAAGGCATGTTGATTTTGGACACAAATGCAAGTAACACCAGTGTTGGAGCTGTCCTTTCACAAATCCAAAATTCACAAGAGCATGTCGTGGAGTACTACAGCAGAACCTTATCAAAGCCGGAACAAAATTATTGTGTCACTAGAAGAGAGTTGCTTGCCATAGTAAAAGCAGTCGACCATTTTCATAAGTATCTCTACGGGCGCAAGTTTCTAATTCGAACAGATCACGCAGCTCTAAAATGGCTTTTAGAAATGAAAACTCCTGAAGGACAGCTTGCTAGATGGATTGAGAAATTGCAGCAATACAATTTCCAAATTAAACATCGACCTGGAAACCTGCATAAAAATGCTGACGCTGAAGATTGCAAACATTGTCAAAGAATCGATATACATGAGAAAAACACTAGTCCAGCTGTAAGAAGAACGGGCCTGATCGTCGATGACAAATAGACTACCAAGCAAATGAGAGAAGATCAGGAGGCAGACCAAGACATCGGGCAAATTCTACATCTTAAAGAAAATGATGAATGTAGGCCAGAATGGGGGAAAGTGTCAAACAAAAGCTTGATTTACAAGGCGTTGTGGGCCCAGTGGAACTCTCTGGCCGTGGAAAATGGTTTGCTCAAAAGAGTTTGGGAAAGTGCCGATGGGAAATCCACTAAGAGCCAACTGGTTATCCCAAAAGACCGAGTGGAAGATGTATTAAAAGAAATACACGACGGAACCTCAGGGGCACATTATGGAGTTAACAAGACTTTGGACAAAATTCGGGAACGTTTTTACTGGGTTCACTACCATGAAGACGTTAAAAGCTGGTGCCGAAAATGCGACATCTGTGCTACCAGTAAAGGCCCTAAACTAAGATCTCGGGGGCCCATGAAACAGTATAACGTTGGTCTTCCATTTGAGAGAATAGCGATAGATGTAGCAGGACCGTTCCCAGAGTCAGAGCGTGGTAACAAATACATCTTAGTTATCATGGATTACTTCAGTAAATGTCCAGAAGTTTTCGCTATTCCCAATCAAGAAGCCATCACCAGGTGCTAGTGGACGAAGTTTTTAGTCGTCATGGTGTGCCACTAGAGTTACATTCAGACTAGGGACGAAACTTCGAATCTGCCATCTTTGCGTAAGACCAGGACAACACCTTTACATCCACAGTCTGATGGCATGGTAGAACGATTTAATAAGACCATAGAGGAACATCTAACAAAAGTGGTCGCAAAGAACCAGCGTGATTGGGACAAACACTTGCCTCTATTTTTAATGGCTTACAGAGCAGCTGTTCACGAGTCAACAGGTGAAAGTTCAGCTAGAATCGTCTTTGGAAGAGAACTCAGGTTACCTTGCGATCTGATGTTTGGAATACCTGAAGAAGAACGAAAAGAAATTCGAGACTATGCCGACGAAGTAAGGGCACGACTTCTGGGTATCCATGATTTTGCTCGGGAGCATATTCAACTAGCCAGTGACCGGATGAAGACCAGATACGTCCTGAAAGCCAATTCAGCTGGATTTCAAGAAGGTGATTTGGTGTGGCTGTATAATCCAGCTAGAAAGAAAGGAGTATCGCCAAAATTGTCTTCAGCATGGGAAGGACCCTACAAAATAATCAAGAGGATTAATGATTTGGTGTATCGAGTCCAACGCAACACCAGGAGTAAGATGAAAGTTGTACATCTAGACAGATTAACGAAATATCATGGGCGCGAAGTTGATCGGGACGATCAACCTTAAGAGGAGGGCAGTGTTACGATAAAAACGCTGTTGTGTGTTCTAGATTTTACAGGAATAGATTTAGGGATATATAAATGCGGCTATTGCTTTGTAGTTTTAGTTTCAGTTCGAGTGTGATACGATTTAAATAGTGATTGTAAAGAGTTTAATTGTTGAGTTTGTTAATAAAGTAATTAGTGTCAGAGTGTTTTGTTAAGTGGAATAAATTATTGCTGTGTTAATTGGACTTTGATTTTTGGAATAAACGAAACGAAAAACGAACCCAAGATTTCTGTCAGGCAACCCAAAGCCGTGACAATACATAATTATTTGTTTCATTAGGCAGGTTTTCCATAGCTGCAGGCGAAGGTAGAAAACCAGCCAGGCATTAAATCTTACCTTTTGCTGTGTGAAACTTATCATTTTTTTCCGAATTTGTTACAAGTTCACGCATAATCCCCTTTTTTTATATTTATCAATTGCGCTGATAGCGTTTGTTTAATGGGTTGCAACAAACTTTTCTGCCTAGGCAGAAAAAGTCCACTTTTCCATGGCTAACTAGAAATCTGAGACATTCGTGACACACCCGTCATTCAAGAAGTAGGTATGTTCCAGAATTAATTAGGTATGAGGCGTTCGGCAATCGCCTTTATAAATTTTATATTATCTAAGTAATAATTATTATTAATTATACAGTTATCCAGATATTCCCGGACATTTTCATCATGCGTCCGGACACCGGACAAACCTTTAAAAAACCGGACAGGTGGCAACCCTATCTGAGCATTTGATTTCTCATTGACATCAACACATCTAGCTTTTTTATCACGTTTTTCATCTTCCTTTATAGTATTATCGGCTGCAAATTCTCATTCCTCTATATCAGTTCATCTATAGATTTGGTTTCACATTCAGTAGATAGCTTAAACTTTTATTTTCTACTATACTACCTATTTCATATTTCTTTTGATGCATTTGTGCGAACAATTTCCCTTTCCAAGGTTTTAAGCTCAAGAATTCATTAACAATGCTTGCATTTTGAATAAAGGAAACAAATTGTTATAGGGTCCAATAATCTGAATAATCCCCTATCAACAAGTCTCAGACTAATTTCAGGAATATTTAAATCGATATGCCTGACATCAAAGTCCACAGCATTTATAATAATTTAGGATTATGGCTTGAACTCTACGTAGAAATGGTAAAGTGTGCAACTTCCTACTAGATAAAGCAATGTGTCAACATTTTTAATAATAGGTACAGGTAGTGTAGGTACATTTTCAATTGAATAATCCTGAATGAAATAATTCATTTCTGGTGAAAGACATTAGTTGTCCAAAAACTAAAAATTACTTTTATCTAAAACTAGTCCTAATAGATTTTAATTAGTTTATTCTTCGAAGCCTTCCACAACAACTATAATTTCTGAAAAGTTCATCAGAATGACTCATACAGGTTTGAAATAAAAAACCTTTACAAAAAAAGCTGATTCTTGAATTCAATTTATACTACTCTTATTATAGTACAGAGAAATTGGGTTATTGCCGTTATTGGGAATTCCCTGTTCCCCCAATGATATCACATATCCAACATAAAAGCTTACAAATAAATATAAAAGTAGAAGTAATCGTCTCAGGGTCAAAAAATAAACAACAACAAGAGGTCATAAGTTTTCTTTTCATTCTAATAACAATAATAATACGTTTTAGTGTTTAAGCAACCTTTTCAAAACTGTGTTTTAACACGCAAGCAAAGATCAATTGCAATCGGTACAATTTTTGTGTGTGAAAAATATGAAAAGTCTTTTTGTTATAACCGGACTAGGGCTGATTTTGGAAATGGTATTAGCTGATGGAGGTCCAGGTAAAAAAAAGATACCTACCTAAACTTGATTGGATTTTATAGTTCGGGAAAATACCACTTAGTGGAGTAAAAACAAGGGAAAAAGTCGCTTCCTTCTCGATTTTTTTTTTTTGGGGGTCTAACCACATGAAACCTATATAGGATGATCGGTTATGCTCTTTTGCATCTAAAATGGCTAATTACGACTTTTTTCGCGGGGGCAGACATTTTTTATCTCAAAAAATGTGACAAATATGTCAAAATGTTATTTTCTTGTTTTTTTAAACCCACCACGCGATAACTCCGGAACTAATAAACCTATCAACATAATTTTTTTTTTAATCGGTAGAGTACATATGAGCGGTGATAACTGTGCTAGTTTAAATCCCATAGTGACTCAATTTTTTTTTGGAAACTGGATTGAACTCCAAATCGTACTTTAATTGCAGCATGTTTTTCGGTAAGCGAGAAACTTTTTTATTTGAACGAATTTTGCCATAGTATCTGCGTACGATATGACGAAAAAGTATCAAAAAAGTTTTTTAAAAAAAATTCAACCATTTGGAACAAATAGTTTTCTAGTTATCCTTGATTAAAGTTATGAATATCCAGAGCACGCGATGTAACTGCTTGTCGGCGACGACGCCGACGACACGAGCGGACGTAGGGATTTTACTGCGGATTTGAAAGTTGGTGCTCGAAAGGTTCCAAAATTTAAAGAATTTATTAAATCTTCTTCAAATAAAACGGCATTAGTATATTATTCAACCAACTATTTCTTGGAAAAGGGGCCTTCTATACTTAGTAATGAGAAAAAAATAATAATAGCAGGATTCAAGAATGCCGAAAGTTGGTTTCTGCTGACCAAAAACGGTAAACCACAAAATTTAGAAAATTTAATAGCAACCAAGCTTATACGAGGATAATTCTTCACTTATTAAATGATCTTCCGACTTGCAATTCCATTCTAGTAAAATGTATTAAGGCCGTTTTACAGCTTGCAATTCTATCTGCAATATGCAAGAAACTTAAACGAGGGCATGCGCGGAAGTGCGTCAACTGATTGTTTTCTGCAAGATTCTTGAAACTTGAATGGCATTGCATGCAATCAGTTTGGTGCCATTTTTCTTGAATGTTCTCGCGCAATCTGGGGAATTTTCAGCAATTATGATGCTTAAAGTGGCTGCTATTGCTTTCTTCCTGTTATATCGACTTATAATTACTCTTTTCACTTTTGAAAAATGCAAACATCAATAACACAACATTAAAAACAAAAAATTATGGTTAAGGTTAGAAAGGAAACAAGTCAAATTGCAAGGTGTAAAACGACGTGCAAGAAATCTTGAATGCAATTTTTTTGCATGCAAAAAATTGCATTCAAGTTTTCTTGCAAGCTGTAAAACAGCCTTTATGCTTATATCTCTGTAATCGTAATCACTTGTCCTTTTAATTTTTCAATTTCTTTTTCTACATTTTCATATTTTTGTTGTTCTACTATCTTTTAACAATTTTATCAATGTACTTATTGTGATTTTCTTATGTGCAATCAGTTTGATGCATGTGTTGTCAGCAAAAAGAGATTTCTTAAGATCAGGGTGTGGGAGGTCAATGCATTTTTACAAGTTCCAAAACTATTGTAATATTCGGTATTGTGTATAATTTTTTCGACTTTTTTCAAACAAGATGTCATTGATTTTGTCAATTTCGAAAAATTCTTTATGAATTTTGGGTAATGACTTACTAATCCTAAATATGATTTTATTCCCTTCATCGTTCTTGGTATTGGGAATTCTTTAATTGCCATTATTATTGATATAATCCTAGTTTACATTGTCCATTACTCTTGGGAAAGTTGCTAGTGCGTCCTTTAGTCCAAAGGCCATTCTGTTTAATTCATAATGTTCATTTTCAACATTTAATGCTGTTTTTGGTATCAAATTTTCATTCATTTCGACTTGACGATTTTTGACGAAAGCCAGAGGTTAAATCTGGTATAGTAATAGCTATTTATGTAACAAGTTGTGAAATGAGCGCTTTTTTTGCACCAAATGTGACATTACTACGACCAAGTCGGCCTAATATCCTAGTATATTTTGAATCAGGTTTGAAAAGCTAATTCAGTGGGACAATAATATAGGGGGTTTTCCATTTGAAAAAGTATAACTTTGCTTCGCCACACTTTTGTGATAAACCCTGTGTACTTGTAACTAAAATCATTGAAAACTTTCTGTTATTACCTACAACTTTCACATTTGACATTTCTAGGTACCTATCTCTTCAATAAGGTGAGATAGGTGTGGGTGCAAAATATATACAATCAGCCGGCACAGGGACTATAACAGGATGGTCTGATTATGTTTACTTTTAACATTTTCTTTATTCGAGAATGTACTTCTTATTCTTGCACATGTGGATACTGTGGATAGGTATCCATACATTTTTGCGTGCACCGGTATTTTATCCGTTGTCTCAATTTCATGTATGTCTTGATTTGTAAATGTGAACTTATGGAAGATTTCAGGAAAAGCTTCAATAGTGTGTTTTAAAGTATCATCAAATTCCTCTCAATTTAAATGATGAGGTTCTATATTGTCATCATAAGGTTGGTATACTAATATTTGCCTTATTTGGATGGATCGGAGTTGCTTGGAATCAGGGTTGCCAGACTTTCAGTTTGAAAAATCGGGACAGCAGAAAAAAACAATATAGGTAACGACCCAACCCACAATTTCTAGACAGATTTTAAATCTTCATTGATTTTGTAGGATTTCGAAGATTTTGAAAATCTTCACATGATTTTACAGTATTTTAAAAGTTTTTTGGTGATTTTGGATTATTTTCGGGAAATTAGAAAGATTTTTAGAAATCCTTAAGGATTTTTAGAGTTTTATTGAATTTTTGGAGATTTCAAAGGATTTTTTTTTTTAGGATTTAGTAAGATTTTGTTGAATTTTTAAAGATTTTCAAGGATTTTAAGTAGATCTCACGAGTTTTTCTTCGATTTTGACCAACTTGTACACAGATTTTGACCAATCAACCGCTCCGAGGTTTAGTTAACTCTATAAAATAATGGACACATATTTTTAATCTTTATTGATGTTATTGATTTTGTAGGATTTTGAAAATCTTTACACGATTTTACAGGAGTTCAGAAGATTTTAGATTTTCAAAATTTTAGGTGATTCTGGAGCATTTTAGGGGTTTTTGAAAAGTTTTTAGAAATCCTAAAATCTCAACACATTTGAATGGAAAAACGGAAATTCCTAGACATTCTACTATAAGATTTCATAATACTTTTCCGAATTTCACCATAAGATTCCATGGAATTCGACCATAAAATTCAAAGGAATTCTTGTACAAAAATTCCTCAGAATTACAGTATAAGATTAAGATTTCATGAAATTCCACTAAAATTTTATGTAATTCGCCAGAAATTACTTAGAATTTCACTAAAATTTAATTCAATTCTTCGGAATTCCGCCGAAATTTCTCGTGATTTCATGGAAGTTCCACAGAAATTCTGTTTAATTCCAAGGGAATTTTTCGGATTTCATGGAATTTCACTGGAATTCCACAATAAGATTTCAAAGAATTCTATGTAATTCGATGAGAATTCCTTGGAATTTTACTAAACATTTCATCGAAATTTTATGTAAGTCGACACAAAGTGAAATTATACATTATTTGATAGAAATTCCGCTTTCCCACTAAAATATTCTGGAATTCCACAAAATTTTCAAAAAATTCTTCGGAATCTCACTGAAATTTCATGTAATTTCTTAGAAATTCCTCAAAATTTCACTTAAACTTGATGAGAATTTTTTAAAATTTCACTGAAATTCCATGTTATTAGTCGAAAATTTTTCTAAATTCCAATAAAACTTCAATTTTTTTTTGAAAATTTCAAGTTTTTAGCCGGAAATTCCTCGAAATTCCACTTGTGAAATTTTCTATAATTTCACTAAAATTCAGTAATTCATGGGAATTTTTCGAAATTTCACTAAAATTTCATGTTTTTAACTAGGAATTCCATGGAATAAAAATAAAACTTCACGTAATTACATTAAGATTTTTCGAAATTTCACTGGAATCCCATATGAAATGACAAGAGTTGTTCAAAATTCCACTTAAATTTTATGTAAATTCCTGCAATTCCTTAAAATTCCATGCAATTGCATCGGAGTTCCATATAATTCGACGAAAATTCCTCGGAATTCATGTAATTTGAAACTTTTTTGATATTCTTTATGTAATTTGACAAGTACTGCAATTTTATGTTGGGAATTTTGGTGTAATTTCATGTAATTGTTTAGAATTCCTCCATGCAACTTATTCAGGATTTCGTGTAATTCGATCGAAATTCCACCGAAATTCCATGTAATTTCTCGAAATTTAATGTAATTCGAGAAGAACTAATATTTAATGTGAATTCTATAAAACTCCGCAAAAATTTCACATGTAATTTTTTTTTCGGAATAACATAATTCTACGGAAATTCCTCGGAATTCCACCTAGTTATGGAATTCTTTGAAATTCCATTCAAATGACAAATTTGAATAGAAAAACTGAAATTCCAAGAAATTTTATTATAAGATTTCATGATACTTTTCCGAATTTCACCATAAGATTCCATGGAATTCCACCCTAAAATTCAATGGAATTCTTGGTTTTTTTTTTTCGGAATTACAATACATATAAGATTTCATGAAATTCTTCGGAATTCCACTAAAATTTTATGCAATTCGACAGAAATTACTTAGAATTTCACTAAAATTTAATTCAGTTCTTTGGAATTCCGCCGAAATTTCTTGTGAGTCCATAGGAATTCCACGGAAATTTTGTTTAATTCCACGGGAATTCTTCAGATTCCATGTAATTTTACCGGAATTCCACAATAAGATTTCAAGGTTAAAAATTGTTTTAAAAATGTTTGCTAGAAAATGGAGAAAACTCAAAGCTCCGTACTTTAAATCAGTTTTCCCGTTCGAAAACGGCCTGAAAAAGCGAAAAATCCGAAGAAA